GATTATAGTCATGAGCTGTCATACCTGGCCATTGTGTGTCTTTTTAAAAATAATGTTTTAATTACAAAATAATACACACATGTCTTCATTGTGTGGAAACTAGAAAATATGGATAAATAAAACAGAGCTGGATACAATGGTATGCACCTGTAGTCCCAGCTACACAGGAGGCTGAGGTGAGAGGACGGTTTGAGCCCAGGAGTTTGAATTCAGCCAGGACAATATAGCAAGACCCTATCTCTATTTTTTTAAAAAAAGAGGGGCCGGGCATGGTGACTGAAGCCTGTAATCTCAGCACTTTGGGAGGCCAAGGTGAGAAGATTGCCTGAGCCCACAGTTCAAGAACAGCCTGAACAACTTGGCAAGACATCATCTCTACAATAAATCAAAAAATTAGCCAGGCATGGTAGCATGTGCCTGTAGTTCTGGCTACTTGGAAGACTGAGGCGGAAGGATCATCTGAGGCCAGCAGGTTGATGCTGGGGTAGTTGTGAGCGTGCCACTGCACTCCAGCCTGGACAATAGAGTGAGACTCCAACTCAAAAAAAAAAAAAAGAAAGAAAGAAAAAAGGAAGTAAAATCATCCAGAATCCTACCTTCCAGAGGGGGGACATTTCTTTTTTAAGTATATATTTACATTAAAAATCATACATACATACATAATATAAACACACATATATTTATTTAATTGTTGTTATTATTACTAGAAAAATTGTTCCAGCTCCTTCAGTTCTTAACTCTTGAGACCATCAAGAGTTCATCAAGCCATGGCTAAGCTCATCAAGCCATGGCTTATTGTGCTGCCATTTGTCTGTCATAGGAGGCCGTTCCCCCAGGAGAGAAGACTGCATTAAATGCTCTGTCCTGGTCAAAGGTGCTTCTCTGGCGCTGTGGCTGAAATCCACGCGTCTATGCATCTTAACAGACCTGTCCATTATTAGAGTGCTCTGGTTTTTTTGGTGGTCTGTAGTAGTTAGAAGATGAATGAGAAAGGACAGTGGAAGGAGACAATGTCTCTGTCAATTCCAAATAGACCAAAGAAGTTTCCAGAGGGGTCATATTCTCTCCATTTTCCTTGCCTGTCCTAGCCTTTTCCTTTCCTAAACTAGACTTACTTAACTCAAACCCTGGACTGGTAGAATAAATTAATTCACATGATGGCATCCAGTGTAACTGTGAAAAGGAATGAGCCACTAGGAAATATTGTTAAATACAAATAAAGGAAAGTGGGGTAAGGTGTTAATAGTAAGTTCTCATTATCTAAAAGGTGAGGTGATACAAAATAGATAAGTATTTGCTTATGTTAAACACACATTAGATACATGTTTTTAAAAAATAAATTACTTATAGGAAGAGGAAACAAGAATAGGAGCGAGATGTCTTTGAATATACTTAGTTTTTTAGATTTAATTTTAGAGCTATGTAAATATTTGAACAATTATAAAGCAAAACAGTTTTTAAAAAGGCCGTTTATAAAATTCAAAAACCAAATGAAGCAAACTAGCCTCATTTTATGTCAAGTTGTTGGCATAACCATCTAAAAAGAATATTTTTAAATAATTAAACATGGTAATTTGTATATTCATAATGGGATATACCCTAAGGACAAAATGGACTTTTAAAAGATTCTCATGTTGTTTTCAATAATCACACAGTTGGTAACAGTGCTTAGACTTCTGTGCATGAATTGTGGAGCAAAGCAAATGAATTATGTTGGGGTTGCTGTGAATCATAATTTTTAGCATTGGAAAAAAGAAGATAAAGATGTAAGACCAAGAAAGTTAAGTAAAATCCTGTAATCTTGAGATTGAATTTGAAGTATAAGTAAGAGTCCATGATGTATAGTCTCTTAAATAAAGGTTTTCACTGGTCTGTCTTCTGAAGAGACTTGCAAGAATCATACTAGCCTCCAAATGTTGAATGTAAATACCATTTGTCAATAAAATGGGCTGGGTGCAATGGCTCACACTAGCACTTTGGGAAGCTGAGGCAGGAGGATCACTTGAACCCAAAAGTCCAAGACCAGCCTAGCCAAATTTGTGAGACCACATCTCTATATAAAATTTTTAAAATCATACTTGTATACCTAATCCTGAATTGTACTCCACATCTTTAAAATTAAAAAAAAAAGAAAATGAGCCGGGCTCGGTGGCTCAGCCTGTAATCCCGTGCCTTTGGGAGGCTGAGGTGAGTGGATTGCCTGAGCCTGCGGGTTCGAGACCTGCCTGGGCAGGTGAGAGCTCATCTCTACAATAAATCAAAAAAATTAGCCGGGCGTGGTAGCGTGCACCTGTAGTTCCAGCTACTTGGAAGGCTGAGGCGGAAAGATCACCAGAGCCCAGCAGGTCAAGGCTGCGGTGGCTGGGAGCGGCCACTGCACTCCAGTCTGGGCGACAGTGAGACTCCAACTCAAAAAAAAAGAAAATGATAAAAAAAAATTTGTTTAATCAGCCGAGTGTGGTGGTATGCACCTGCAGTCCATTCTACTCAGGAGGCTGAGGCATGAGGATTCTTTGAGCCCAACATTTCAAGGTTACAGTGAGCTATGATCACAACACTATACTCCAGCCTGGGCAACAGAGCAAGAATCTGTCTCTTAAATAAATAGACCAGGTTCAATGGCTCTCACCTATAATTCCAGCACTTTGGGAGGCCGAGGTGAGAGGATTGTCTGAATCTATGGGTTCAAAACCAGCCTAGGCAACTTGGTAAGACCTCAGCTCTACAATAAATCAAAAAATTAGCCAGGCGACGTGGCGTGTACCTGTAATTCCAGCTACTTGAAAGGCTGAAGCAAAAGGATCTCTGGATCCCAGCAGGTCGAGGCTGCAGTGGCCGTGAGCATGCCACTGCACTCCAGCCTGGGCAACAGAGTGAGACTTCAACTCTAAATAAATAAGTAAGGGACTAAGGTTTCGGAGAAATGACTGATTCCAGATCTGGGGAAGGAAAGGTAAAAAGTTATCTGATTTATCCTATCACTTTAGAAAGCTTCTGCTCTCAAAGGCATCTGGGATTGTGTCAGAGAGACTCAGGGGCCATATTAAAGAGAGCCCCACTGGCCAAAGATGGGACCATCAATAAAAATAACTGCAATGAATTGAAATACACCAAATAGCTCTAAAGTCATATGTTCCTAAAGCTCCAGAAAACAAACAGTCTCTCATTGGTTAAATCAGGGGGTTGCTGTACTTTTAAAGCAGGTCAATAAAGGGAAATAAACACTTATCCTGCCTTCCCTGTACAAACTGTGATATAGAATGACCAAATAATTAATGATGGGAAGATTCTTCTCTTATAAAAGCATTTTAGGTAATAAAGTGGGAAAAAAGACAATTAAAATATCACCATTTGTAACCGCTAATGAAATAATGTATCTAAGCCATTATCATTGATGACTGCTAACAGCACAGAGAAGAGAGACAGCCAGACACTATGTGCCTCTTGTTATAAGTCCACACTAATCCCTACAAGGTATTCTTTTTGTAAAAACTCAAGCCTGAATCTGATCAAGCCTCTACATCCAATTAACAATGTATAGGAAATACAGGGGACCAAGTAAGATGTTAATTGAACTGTGAAAGTACAGTCAGCAAGTTTTAGATTGTGGAAACTCTGCAGGACACAGAAATTGGAAGCACACTTTTTAATAATTACAAAGAAAAACAGAAAGGGAGGGCCAATATATTACAAGAGACTTGGGATTGCAATGTATGAATTTTTTTTTTTTTTTTTTTTTTAGTAGGAGTCTCACTCTGTCATGTAGGCTGGAGTGCAGTAGCATGCTTACAGCTACCACAGCCTCGACCTGATGGGCTCATGTGATACTTCCATCTCAGCCTTTCAAGTAGCTGGAACTACAGGCATGCACCACCACACCCAGCTAATTTTTAAAAATTTATTGTAGAGATAAAGTTTTGCCAAGTTGCCCAGGCTGATATGAAACTCATGGGCTCAGGCAATCCTCTTGCCTCAGCCTCCCAAAGTGCTGGTGTTACAGGTGTGAGTCAATGTGCCTGGCCTGCAGTGTATGAAATTTATTTGGATCTTGACTCACACAAATGAGAGACAGAGAGAAAGGTAGAGAGAGAGAGAAGAAAGGGGAGGGGAAGGGAGAGGGGAAGAGGAAGGGAGAAAGAGGACAGAGAAAGAGAAGAAGGAGGAAGACAGACAGAGAGGATGATAATGAGAATGATGGGGCAATGTGGACCATAACTAGGTAGTTGATAACATTAAGAAATTATTTTTAATTTGTATAGGTGTAATAATGGAACTCTATACTTCTTTCAAACAATTCTTACCTTTCGTGATACATACTAAATACTGGAATGAAATGACAAGATATTTGCAATTTACCTTGCGGGGAAATAGTATAGATGAAATGAGAGTTGATCATTGCTGAAGCTGGGCGATAGACACATAGGGTTTAATATTACTGTTCTCCCTAGTTTTATTTATATTTGAAATTTCTATAATGAAAAGGTGTTGTTTTTTTTTTTGAGTTGGAGTTTTATCCCAATGTCCAGGCTGGAGTACAGTGGCACACTCACAGCCACCCCAGCGTCAACTTGCTGGACTCTGGCGATCCTTCCACCTTAGCCTTCCAAGTAGCCAGAACTACAGGCACGTGCTACCACACCAGGCTAATTTTTGATTTATTGTAGAGATGACATCTTGCCAAGTTCTCCAGGCCGATCTCAAACCCGTGGGCTCAGGCAATCTACTCGCCTTGGCTTCCAAGAGGCTGAGCCTCCAAGCCTGGTCTGAAAACATTTTTTAAAAGTAGGCTCTGGCTTTATTGTGAACATTGTAATCCATTCCTTCCAGATGTTGGGAGTGGACTGATCAGTGTGACCACATGGGACTTAGCACATCCACCTGTTTTCAACCTCCCACTAAAACCCAATAATTTTCAAGGCCTATTTGTTTTTTATTTAAAAGTTGTATTACTATTGTTGGTTCCTGGGAATGCTGACAAGTACTGACTGCTTGCTTTTCAGGCTCTGGGATCTCCAGCTATAAGAATAACCCCCAAGATGTCCCCAAAGCCTTTGAAGATTGTATGCAAAAAGTCAAGGAACAGGTTCCGATCCACCTCCACAAATCCACCCCCATTCACCTGGGAGCCACTGCTGGGATGCGCTTGCTGAGGTAAAGCCTAAATGGCACCAAAGAGCTCATTTGACCAAGAATGTTACTCTATTTCTGGAAGCAACCCCTCCACCAAAAAAGAAGTCCATGTTTTGCCATAAGTTTGAACTTTAAAGGTTGGGAAACTTTTAGTCTTTATTTTAATACCCAGAAAGAAACAATTCTAAAATTGATTCCCTCTGCCCTGGTGATTTTACTGAGAACTCTGAAAAAAGGGAGGTAACATGAAATCTCATGGGTTCTTTAGAAAAGTAGTAGTTTTTGACGTTTCGTGTTTTGAAACTTGTGAACAACCCAAAGCTATGTAGTTTATACAAAATGTCACTGAAATCTGCTTTAAAACAAGGTAATTTTGCTCCCCATATCAGTCAAAGCCTCTGGGCTTTCTTCCATAGGGTAGTAATGGCAGCAAACAGATTCTATACTGCTATGTCATGGGTAATATAATACAGTCTTACCATTCCTCTGTGAGTCAGCACACCAATGGTTTTGCAGTCCTGTAAAAGCCACCCTGACCATCATACTCCCTCATGCGGAAGCCCTCTCAAAGAGTAAAGCAGGAACAGCTGAAAACTCAACCTTCTTCCTTTCCTGCTTCTTCCTAAGCTGCCAGTCCTTCTGAGGGTTTCTTTATATGGTGCCGCAAGAGATTACTCCTGCTGCTCCTAGGCCCTCACCAATCTCCTTTCTTCTGCTGATCTGAGACAAAACAATGGTAGTTAACTAGGCAGCTCTTTTGATACAAGAACAGGTAGGGATGGAGAGAACAAATCATACTTTTACTGAAAGCTATTTTCCTGCTTGGCAGTTTGACAGGTAACAAGTGCATCCCGCCTTCATGATTGCCCTCGGAAGGTTTCAACTTGCAAAATGAGGGTTTGCTGTGTACTACACACATCTGGAAAGTCATCCATCCCTGCCAGCAGGGAGGTGGGGAGGTTTACATTTCCACCTGAGTGAGACTACTTATTTTAAGACTGTGTTGTCTGGGCACTCAGCCTTTTGTGTTCTGTGCCTTGCATAGGTTGCAAAATGAAACAGCAGCTAATGAAGTTCTTGCAAGCATCCAAAGCTACTTCAAGTCCCAGCCCTTTGATTTTAGGGGTGCTCAAATCATTTCTGGGCAAGAGGAAGGGGTATATGGATGGATTACGGCCAACTATTTAATGGGAAATTTCCTGGAGGTGTGTGGAAACAAATGCATGGTTTTTAATCTTACTGTTTATCCTGTCCCCTGTGAGTGATAGCTTAAGCAGAGGTACATGCCAATAGAGACATCTGTCCTGTATCATTTCTATCATGTAATATATTAGGGAAACACTTGTGAGACAATAGCTAAGAAAAAACACGTATAGCTGGGGAAGAAACATGAATCACAAACAGAACCAAATGCATGGGGAAGAGTGAATATAACTGTATCGGCCTGTAAAAAATTGAAGTGGGTGGGGCCTACATTTAACACTGGACTATGAGTCTTTTAAAGGGCAGTTGGAGAATGGCTCTTCTGAGAGGCTCCAGGGCCATCTAGAATGTACAGAGCCCTCAAGCTATCTGCTTCCCTGAGTCTACAGGGACAGAGGGAGGTCTTCACTCTGTGTCCCCTGGGTCTCTTTACAGCCCAGTCCCTGAACTTTCTGCTCCTTTGGCGCAGAAGAAAGTTGACTCCAAAAGACAACCACTGTATTGCAGGGGACACAAACTAAGATGCCCCAGACCATATCCAGCCCAAGACTTATTTTGTTCCCCCCAAGTGTATTTTAAATTTTTTAATTAATTGCTAACAGTTAACATGTTAATTACCAACAGTTAACATTTCTGGTTTATTTTGAACTCTTCACCTGATCTCTCCCCTCCACATTGGAGGAACTGGTAACGGTAGACTCACATTCCTGCATGGTGACAACCAAGAGGACCAGAATGTAACTCATGGACTCCCTAGTTTGTCACAATCCCCACCACTCTAATGTATGCACCTAGTCTATTTCCCTCATTTATGATTCATCTGTTACTTCCCCAGCTCCTGTAAGCATTTGAATTCACCACACCTGAAAGAAAAGGAAAGAATCGGCTCTGAATGTTCCCTGTCATACTTCTTAGTAATAGGAGATGGGGCTTGGGTGGAGAACCCCGGGCAAACAGAAATGGTACCTTTGGCCTTTTTTCTTACTTTCTTTTCTCACTGTGCAGAAGAACCTTTGGCATATGTGGGTGCACCCACATGGAGTGGAAACCATAGGTGCCCTGGATTTAGGCGGTGCCTCAACCCAAATATCCTTCGTGGCAGGAGAGCAGGTGGGGCTGAACACCAGCGACATCATGCAGGTGTCCCTGTATGGCTACATGTATACTCTCTATACACACAGCTTCCAGTGCTACGGACGGAACGAGGCTGAGAAGAGGTTTTTGGCAATGCTCCTGCAGGTACCTGAGTGGGGGGGGCAAGTGTTCCCTTTCTCTTGAGGATATGACCTGTCTGGGTGCAGACAGAATATTAGTGGTCACAAGAGAAATGTTTGCTGAAAGGGGAGGAGGCAGAGCCCTTCCTAGGCTTCCCTTTAGATGGGTCTATACTAGGCAGGTCTGATGCTCTTTGATGCCCTTTGTATAGTGGAACTTTAGAGCAACCAAATTCTATCATGTTGGTCCATAATTCATGTAAGAGTGAATCTTCAGGAAGATGAATGGAAATAACAGCATTTTCCAGTTTATTTCTGGGGGTCCTACAGTCAGTCAGTCTCTCTGTCTCTGTCTCTGCCTATCTCTCTCTTCCTCTCTCTCTCCTCTCTCTCTCTTTCTCTGTCTCTTTCTCTGTCTCTCTTTCTGTCTCTCTTTCTTTCATCTCTCTCTCTCTCTCTCTTTCCTTGTCTGTCTATCTCTCATATCTCCCTCTCTCTCATTTTCTCTCTTTTTCTGTCTCTCTTCCTCTCTCATATCTCTCTCTCCTTCTCTTTCTCTCTTTCTCTCTCTCCCTCTCCCTCCCTCTCTCCTTCTCTGTCTCTCTCTCTCATTCTCTCTCTCCCCCTCTCTCTCCTTCTCTGTCTCATATCTATCTCTCACTTTATCTCTCTCTATTTCTCTATCCCTATTTCTCTCTTTATCTATCTCTCTATCTCTATCTCTATCTCTATCTCCATCTCTATCTCCATCTCCATCTCCATCTCCATCTCCAGATCCATCTCCATCTCCACGTCTAACTCTACCTCTATCTGTCATGTTGACCACTTCTAGTGAATTTGAGTAAGAAGTCCAGGGACGTTCCAGAGCGTCACGTGTTTTGTAAACGACTCCAGACCTGGGAATCCCTTTATGGGCACAAACTGTTTTAAACCAGTTGCCAAACTAACCTGAGAATTTTGAGACTTCCCTGGGTGCAGACAGAATAATATTAGTGGTCACAAGAGAAATGTTTGCTGAAAGGGGAGGAGGCAGAGCCCTTCCTAGGCTCAGCTTCCCTTTAGATGGGTCTATATTAGGCAGGCCTGATGCTCTTTGATGCCCTTTATATAGTGGAACTTTGGAGCAACCAAATTCCAACATGTTGACCTGTAATTCATACGTGTTCCAGGGCCCAGAAGGCTTCAGTCTCTGCTGGAAAACTGTCATGGATACAAATTCAACATTATATAGTGTGTGTCAGTGAGGGTACTAGCTCCATAGATAAGACCTCAGACCGCAAACTCAGGGAACACTAATCTCAGCCATTACTGGGCTGCTGAGATGAAGGAAAGGGGCCTTGACCACCTACAGAAGTATGAGGACAACCAGAAACCACAAGACCTGACTTCTGATGGCAGCTGGGAGCAGGGGACTAGGGCTGGGTCAGCCTGTGAACAGAGTAGACATGACATCAATGGGTTCGCTCCCATTCCTCCAACCTGCCTTTATAACTGAGGCCAGGAGCAGTATTTCTTGGACACCAGTCTGCAGAAGAGTTGAACTGGTTCACAAAAGTGTCATCTCTAGCAGAGCTCACATCTTCAGACCCCTGCATTTACCCAGTGTTCATGCAGGGTGTTTTGTGGGAACTCGCCCTCCAGTTTGAGTTCCTCCCCAAAACTTCTGTGAGCCTCTCAGGAAAGGCTGGAGCTCCAGTACACATGCAGTTGTTGTGACATTTACTGTCAGGAGATTCTGAGAAATGCCCAGTAAGGACAGATGTGAGAACCCTGCCGAGAGCCTTCAACCACTCTTCCATGGCTCCCACAGGCCCAACTGCCACCCACTCCCCAACTCAGCCAAACCAAATCCCACCAGTCACCCAATCAACCCTCCATAGCAGGAAGTCTCAATACTCACCACTTATCTCCACTTGCTCTTTGGATTCAACCTACATGCTTCTTTCTAGGAGAGAAGCTCTGGAAGATTCTCTTTTCTCAGACTCCCTTTATTTTCAGCAGTGCTCAATGTCCCTTTCTCTAGTTCTGACCCTGATATGGGTGGAATGTTGAGGCTTGGGTCAAATCATCCTTTTTGTGGAGTGAGTGAAGGTCAGAGAGGCTATCCTTCTGAATTTGGCAGGCCCTGAAGAGTGTGTGTGTGTGTGTGTGTGTGTGTGTGTGTGTGTGTGTGTACTCCTACAATATTTACTAAGGAATGATTATCTAGTATCCAGCAGTCCATAGTATAGAAGTAAATACCTTTTAGAGGTCTCAATAGGTTTGAGAATGCAGGTCTCTAAGTGTGGGCCCACCACTGGAGGCAGAGGAGCGAGTTCCCAGCCTGTCACAGTCAGCTCCCGGGGACAGGGACAAAAGTCTTCAATTTGCCTAGTAACCGCTAGACGCCTGAGAAAGTGGCTCTGCCCTCAAAGACTTCTGACTCAGCTAAGGGGAGGGATCCAGATGTGGTGAGGATTACCGACAAATGCATGTCCAGACCTGTTGACCAGTACTTTCAAGGGTCAAATACATGTTGCTAAGCGCTGACTAGAAAGGTTCACATAAATATTGCATCATGAACACTGGCTAAGTAAATTCTCCATCTGTCTGGATCACACTTCCTCATTTGTAATATAAAGAACTATATAAGCCGGGCTCAGTGGCTCAGCCTGTAATCCCGCGCCTTTGGGAAGCTGAGGTGAGTAGATTGCCTGAGCCCGCGGGTTCGAGACCCGCCTGGGCAGCGAGACCTCATC